TACAGCTTGTCAGTGAAAAAATGACTGATGTCAAGATGCCAGGTCAGGATCAATAACATTACAGACCTTTCTTTGGATTTTGTCAAAAATCTCAAGATACATAGTAACAGCACCAGACCAGATGTCAGTTATGTCAGTTATGTCTCATATCCAGTCTGTTCTCCTATTTACCAATAGCTGATGAGAGAAGAAGAGGATTCATACCTTTCCCAAGGGTATTAGCACGTAAGTGAATGTAATGGATCTGACTGGAATTTGAACTCGGCTCTCCGATTCCTCAGTCTGAGCTGGTACCCTGGTAAACTCTACCATGACTTCTTCTGATATGGGAGCCATATTTCATGCATAGACAAATAGTAGATTTAGAAATGTGTAAGATGGTTTCTGATAAGAAACACTGTCTGGTATGACACACAATGAACCAACATTGTTAAAAGTAGATCTAGCAATCAATTCAATATAATCACTTGACTTCATGTCAGTGGAAAATGTGAGCCTAAGAAGGCACAAAGAGTTGTTCTCTCGGAGGTTAGCATCAGCCATACTGATGGCAAGCAGAAAAAGTTCCCTATGGGGATTAAATGAAAGCAGTTTTGTTTTGGGTGGGGATGTTAAAATTCACAAGCCATTCCTTGCCCCAATTAACCTCCAATTGGAGACTATTTTTGAAAGCCATTGCCAGTTTTACTTTGACATGTTGGACTTGCTACTACAAGAACAGTAAATAGTATCGACAGCATAAATTCTGAGCTGGAAACTGATGACATTGAGAATATCGTTGCTAAAGATAAGAAGCAATGTAGGCCCAAGGCTAGAGTGCCCTAGATGACACCCGCATTAATGTGAAGTCCATTCAACATTACTTTCATTGCATGATTTGTTAGGAATGATTGGATCAGGCCAAATATTCCCACAGAGTCATCATAAGTCCTGAACTCGTGCAGAAGGCCAGCATGTCAAACCCTGTCAAATGCCTTCAAGATATTTAGAGCTACAGCCATTATACTCTAAAGTTTGAAGAGAACATTTCTTTAGGACAATTGCAGGGAGATAACCACATTGAATCCACAACAAGTCCCCCCCCTGTAGCTAGAGCTAGATTTTATCAATATAGCACAAACACATACACACACATGCATATATATATATATATATATATATATATATATATATATTATATTATATATATTTTTTATTACTTAAATGTTATTTTTTTATTATTGAAGCCATTGGATTAAATAAATAAATATACTTTTTAATAAATAAAAACAGAGCATCTATTTAAATATGGGTATCCACTAAAATATAATGTAATAAAAAAAAAATAATAAAATAAAAATTAATAGATGAAAAATCCATTCCCACATCATATATATATATATATATATATATATATATATATATATATATATATATATATACACGAGTTGGAAACACTTCAACCTATTTCTTATTCAACATTCACTAAATTTATATACATTTTTTTTTTTTCAAAAGTCATGTGTAAAATTTAATCTAAAATAAACAAGCACACAGACACACACTTTTCAAGATTTACTTATTGCTTTCTATATATATATATATATATATATATCTGTCATTTTCTCAGTTCCCTACAGGATGGACACATTTCTTCAAGTTTTTTTTACATATTAGGAGTAATGGACTATGGCAGTCCATGTTATCTTGGCAGAAATGGGAGAAGGGATTATAAGTTGAATTCAGAGTTAATATTCTCCAAGACTGCTTACACTTACTATTTCACCCATTGCTGGAGGGAGAAGAGATGAATTCATGCCATACCCAAGAGTTTTAATAACAAAGTGAATACAACAGCCTCACTTGAAATTTGAATGCAGATTGATGTTTCCATTTTTTACATCAATAACCATTACATCACATTCTTGTGTGTGTGTGTGTATGTGATAAATCTATGAATTCGGATAAAAGTTTGAGCTTCATTTGGTAGGAAGTGTATTGGATAATAGTTTCCTTAACAGAAAGAGAATGGGAAGAAAGGGAAACTAAAAACTGTGATTTCAATGTTAAACATTGTTTAAAAATTAACATAGCAAGAAAAAAAATACTATAAGTCTATAATGAAATAAACTGAATCAGAACAAAATATCCCGTTAATATGCATATCGTTGAAATCTTTTTAACTAGACTGATAAAGAAGATATTCTAAAATCCTGTTTGGATATTTTTTAGGTGTTTTCTTACATAGGAAAATAGTAGACAAACTATTCATTTTTTTTTTTTTTGCATTTTTAGCTAGTCTTCAAAAGAGCAGAGACTACACTTTAATCCTAACAGAATAAAAGATTTAAAACTGTGCTTTGAAAACAAAGCCTGCTTGCCTTTATTAAACTTGTGTATATTGGCTTTCAGCTACATCACGTCAAAATACTGTTTTCCATCAAGGTTAAGCAATATCAATCATGACCAGTATCTAGATGGGTGACTGCTTGGGAATACCAAGTGGTGTAAGCTTGGATGTGGGCGTGGTGTAATGGATAATGGCTTGGAATTGTTAATTGGAGAGCTGGGTTCCAATTCTAGTCAGATTTGTTTTTATTCACTTACGTACAAATACTCTTCTGAAAGAGGTATGAATCCACCTCTTCTCCCACCAACTATGAGTTAATTAGTAAGACTTGTATCACTAAAACCATTATTATCACCAAAGAAAAAATAGAAGTGCATTCAAAATATTTTGATTACGTCATTAAATAACCCATAGAAGTTGATATGCCACTAAACAAAATCAACCAACCAACATTTGCATATTAAATTAAACTGAAAATACCAATATTGCTTACAACTCTATTTTTTTTTATTTTGTGTTAAATTCCAGGGAAAGTGTGGCATAAAGTTCTTGATCAATTTAGTGCTAGAATTCATTGCTTTATGAGGATTAATGCTTTTCTGAATGAAAAATAATTTGTTTCTTCTATAATCAATAATAAACAGATTACTTGGTAAGGAAATTTATCTTGCTTAGTGGTATTACAAATAATGCAGAGAAGTTAAAAATTCATAGTAGTAGTATAAAATTTCCCTTTAAAAATCCAAATTTATTTAAAGAAAAGTACTGAGCAATAATCAAAGTTAAAGACAACTGTACCAACAAGAAATGTCATCTAATATTAAACTATCATAGAAGAGATAAAGTATTAAAATACAAGACTGAGAAGGCAATTGTTATAACCAATGGTTTATGACATTATTACATAGTAAAGAACTTTTCTAGCATGTGTATCACCCCAGATCATGACAGAATATACTTTGCACTCAGTGTGACATCAAAGAAGCCAAGTGTATGGTTGACTGGAGGTGATCACCTAGCTATATCTAGATAAGAAGCACAGTAAAAAGCTAAATCATATATATATATATATATATATATATATATAGTTTTAAGGTATGCTATAGTTACTAGAGCTGTGATATTTAATAAATCAATAAGCATTTAATAGATTTATCTTACTTACTATCTATTCATTGATTTATTGAACATCTGGCCCAGATGAGCAAGTTCATGCAAAACTCTGAGTTGGTCATAGGATAAGTCATGGAATTGTTAACTGGAGAATCAAATTTCAAATCCAATTGGGTTTATTACATTCACTTACATGCAAATAGCTTTCTCTCCCTAGCTATGGGTTAATTAGTAAGATGTTTCACTAAATCATTATCTCCAAAAAAGAAGAAAAAATTTTTACTATCTAAAAATATTTTCTGACTTTAAATAAAAATAGATATATAATCCAGAGGTGAGTCTCCATTCTTAACTTTGCCTCAGGTTAATATTTATTTAGTTTAGATTTAAATTCAATATAAGATTCATGTTTGTGGTAATTTAAAATGAAAATAGGTTTTCATACCAGAAATACTTTATAAAAAAAAAAAAAATTTATTACCAGCAATACATTTAAAAAAAAAAAAAATAGATATTACCAGCTATACATTTTTTGAAGAAAGAATATTGCCAGAAATAAAAATTTTGCCGGCATTAAATAACCCATTGAGGTGTTGATATGCCATAGACCAAACCTGGTAAAAAGATAGAAAGTGGGGTTGTTGGTAAGAGAAAAATGCCAAGATGTCAATGGCAACATCAAACAAGTAAAGAAGCTTAAATATCTGGGAGGTGTTTTAGCAGAGAATGGAAAATTAAACCTCAAAATCTGAACGTATATCAGATTAGCCAAAGATGCCTTCCAAAAGCTAAACAAAGTACTAAGAAACAGGAAAATTTCATTAGAAAGAAAGAAAAGTGTGCTGAATTGCTATGTTATATCACATCACTTGTATGGTTGTGAATGCTGGACAATCTCTGCACAGATCAAGAGGAAGCTGGAGACAGCAGAAATGTGGTTCTACAGAAGGATGCTGAGAATTCCATGGTTGGAGTAAATAAACAACAAAGAAGCCTTGAAGAAAATGGTAACAAAAAGAATGCTTATACTCAGAATCAGAAAGAGAAAACTGAAATTTCTTGGACACATAATGAGGAAGAAAGGCTTGGAGAACTTGATCCTCACAAGGCATGTTGAGGGCAAGAGAAATAGAAGGCAATAGGCCACTTACCTGATGAGCTTATCTGAATGGATGGCACAGAAGGAAGCTTGGCAAAAAGAGAAACTCTGCTAAGAAGTTGTGGAGAGCTATGATCGCCTAAGCTCTGAAGGGGCATGGCATATAGAATGAACTTATAATTAGTCTTTTCTTATTCCATCAATTGAAAATGCTAACAATGTAAAGTATTGTCAAAAAGTTTTCTTCTTCAAACCTGTAAGAATTATCAGATAATTAGCAATAATACTTGTTAGTGACAGTCATGCCATAGAGACATTTTTGTTTTCTTTGACGTAGTCGTAAGTTATCTTCTCATCTTAGATAATAAATCTTGAGTTATTAACAAATAACAAAACTAGTGCCGTGCTAAAATGAATGAGAACAATTGTTGGTATTTTCTTTGATGCAAATGAACTTACCAATGTTTATATCAGGTAAAAAGCTTGATGTCAGCTCATCTTTGGAGGTGAGGAAATTGTAAAGTAACTCACTTCCTTGAAGCTGGGGCATGGCAACGAGTTTCTGAAAATAAACATCAAAAAAATTTGAAATCCAATATTACAAAACACGATTATTTTATGAGTTGTCACATGTTACAGGCATAACATCATACAATAGGAAGTCATTCCATTTACAAATCCATCAAAAATTCAAATTGAGTATAAAGAAAAATAATACCTAACTCCTTGAATTATAAATGCCATATTTTTCCCCAAATAGTTTCTTGGTTCTACCAATGAAAATTTAAATTTTATATTTACTTCACAAAACTATAACCATTACCTGCAAAACAAAAAAAAAAGACACTCCTTGCTTAATTTTCGTCCATGAAACCACATGAAAAAGAACATCATTGACCTATTCCTTTGTTTTATTTGGTACGAACATTCTGGCTCATGCAGGTATTGGATGTTAATTAATTATCATGCATGGAAGGGTCTCCTTGCATGCACATCTGGTGGGCAACCCAGAGGCCACATTGTGTTGCAGTCTTCTCATGTCATATACAATGACCATCTGCTACTATTACATTAAGTCTTTTCCTTATCAACATAACTCAACATGACCATAAAGAAACAAAAATATAAATCTAAACAAGTTAAAAAAAACAAAACAAACACCTAAACCCTTTAACATTTCCTTGTCATATGTCTGTGGTATTCTTACCAACTTCTGCAGTGTGGAATCATTCCTTTTTGAAAAGACTCCTGATATACTAGCTCTCTACGAGACTAACCTTGTCAATTCTTTCCTCTGATTTCTCAATTCCCAGCTACTTTCCTCTCCTTAGAAAGGATGCTAAAATCCACTGGAAGTTTATGTTGGCGATCATCTCCTGCAGACCAGAGAATCTCCAGACCATTCGTATATGTGTCTCCGTCTATCTCCCCTCAATTCAGTAAGCTATTTCTTCTTTATCAATCATTCCCCTTCCTCTTAAAACTGTGGTGTACTCCATAGAATTTCTGATAATATAGACAAGGCCATTTCTCTACATCATTCAGTAACTTTAACGCCCACCATACCATGTGGCTTAAACACACTGTAACTGACCTCAATGGCATCCAAACCCTTAACTTTTCAATCACTCAATCCCTCACACAAGTGGTTGGCTTTCCTACAAGCTTCCCCAGTAACCCTGATGGTAATGCTTCCCTTCTTGATCTCTCTTTTACCTCCATCCTTGACTCTTGTTGTGCTACATAGCTCTCTCTGCCCTCTTAGCAACTCTGATCACACCATAGTGTCTACTGCCATCTCCTTCCACTCCCCTTCCAATGAATAACCTTCTACTAACAGAATATTTTTTTGTTATCAATGTGCAGACTGGGACTTGTTCTGTGATTTCCTTTGTGATGACCCTTGGAATGTGGTATTTAATCCTCCTATTCAAAAATGTGTGTCTGAGATCTCTTCCTGTGTTAAAGCTGGCATTGAGGCTTTCATCCCAGCAAGAAAATACAAAGTTAAATCATGCTCAGTTGCTATAGCCCACAGGAATCACTTCTGTCTGTACTGGAGCAACATGTCTGATTGCAACAGACGTCTCTGCTCATTATGAGTGCAAACTTACTATTTGCTGATAGAATGAAACAACATATTGCATCTCACAAGTTTAGTTCTAAAGATTATTGGCAGTTTTGCAAGAGTGTGCTGAACAACAGCAAATCCAAAATCCCTCCCCTATTCAATTAATTTGAAGTCCTAACTTCCCCAGTTGATAAGGCTGAATCCTTTGCTTGGAAATTCTCATCCAACTCAACACTTGACTTGTCCAGAGTAACCACACCTTATTTTTCCCCAGAAGTGAGATGCTATTGAATGAGATGAGCATAACCCGGTCGATGATATTGGATATCATCTCTAAATTATACACTCATAAAGCAAGTGGTGGTGATGGGGCACCAACCATAGTCCTAATGAAATATGCTCCTGAGGTGTCTTCAGTTCTTTCCAAACTATATAACTATTTGATCACTGATTCTTGCTTTCCAGCCTGTTGGAAGTCCTCATCTGTCGTCCTTATTTTGAAGAACTCTGGAGAACTTTCTGACCCATGTCAATACCATCCTATCAGTCTCCTACCAATCTTTGGCAAAGTCTTTGAAGCTTTATTCAATGCCAAAGTGGTTACTCACCTTACCTCCCATGATCTACTCTCTAATGAACAATAGGGTTTCTGCTTTGCCCAGTCTACCACTGATGTACTTATGGCCATAACTGAATTTGTATGCCAAGCTGTTGATAATAAGGTGAAGCTTGAGCTGTGGCTCTAGATATCTCTTAGGCATTTAATAGCATGCCGGCCTTGTACATAAGCTTCAGAGATACAGTATTACAGGACAATTATTTGATTTAATCCATTCATTCCTGTTAAACCATGAAATAAAGGTCGTCCTAAACAGGTTCTGCTCCAGTTCCTGGGTCCTACACTGTTTTTGATCTTCAACAATCTTCCTGATGCCATCAGTTTTCAAGTAGGCATCTATGCAGACAACATTACCATTAACTCCTCCCTTAATAGTAAATCCAGCATGGCTGACAAAGTTAACCTGGCTGTTGGTTGCAAAAAGGACCTCCAATCTGTGGTTGACTAGGGCAGGAAATGACTAGTAAATTTTAATGCCTCCAAAACGAAACCCACCATAGAAAATCCTCCCTGCCTCCTATCAGCATGGCTGATGCCCAACTTCATGAGCGTGTCTCTTTGCACCTTCTTGGTTTCATGTTTTCCACTTACCTAAGGTACAACAACTACATTGAATGAGTAGCTACATCTATCACAAGGAAAGTTGGTTCTCTATGTCATGCCAGTAGATTTTTTCTTGTCTGAGTCCATCCTTCAAATCTACCATTCGTCCTTGCATTTAATACTGTTGCCATATATGGTCTGGTGCCCCCCCCCGCTGTTCATCTCGAGGTTCTCAACAAAATTCAAAGATGCATATGCAATGTGATAGGTCCTGACCAGATATCTTGACTTCAGTCACTTTCTCAGAGAACTGATGTGGCTTCCCTCTGTCTTTTCTACAAATATTTTAGCTCTGACAAGCTATTTTCACTGGGGCCTCAACTGCATGAATTTAAGCTTGCTACCAAGTTGACATCTTGCTCCCATCTTTTTACTGACAAAACTACCTCTTCTAGTCCAACAGCTTCTTCTCTCTCACTTCTTGATGATAGAACTCCCTTTCTCTTACTTGCTTCCCTGATAGCTATAATCTTAAAAAATTTAAATGTAATGTCAATCGACATCTTCTAATGCCTTCCTCTTGATCCCTCTCCTTCTCTTTATCCTTTCCTGAAACATCACTCTTTTCGCTTACTTTCACTCTCCATAACTCCCTTCATGCTCATGCCACTCCTGCCTTGCTTCAGGTGAAATGATTTAAAAAAAAAAATCATAATTCAGTTTCCCATCACAGATTCTAACATTTAATACATATACATTTCTTGATGCTGATTTCTGTACATTCTTAATAGCGTGAATTAAATAAATTTTACCATATTCAGTATTTACTTCTGTATTCCAATGGTTTACTGAAGATTAGAATTCATGATATTAAAGATGGCAAAGTAATGGTTGTTGCAATGAGATTTCTGAAGGTTTCATTGTGTTATACTAATGTGTTAGATTTAATTTACAGATATGATCAGCACTGAATTCTATAAACAGAATAGAATTCAACAGCAGATTATGCACCTTAGAAAATTGAAGATCACTGATTGAAATGACATAGACATAAACAGCATATGATGAATGCAGAGTTCAAACAAGCAGCTTATTGAATATCTGACAGCAACTTTATTGTATCTGAACAAAACTCTTGTTATTCATTCTGTTTGCTCACACCTTATGTTAATCTGAGTTTTCATTTTCACATTAATATCAATCTAATGTTCTTTTCTGCTAATCAAAAACTGACCACCTATACTTATTGGAATAAATTTGGTTCGGTTTGTTTAATGGCACATCAACTCCTTATAGGTCATTTAATGCTAACATTTTATTTCTTTAGAAACTTTAGTAATTTTTATTTTTACTATTAAAATCTATTGCTGGAAATTTTTACTATAAGAATGTATTTTTATTCTTTTATAGTGTTTTGACCCCATTTTGGGGGTTCACTATTTGCCCATAGCTAGGCACCTAATAGGTGCTACCACCCCAGGTCAGGGTGGACTTGGGACACCAACAATTAAAAGGTGGTTCCACACTCTTCAAAACCTCCTAAACAGATGCCTGCTGCCGAATGTAGTTTATCATCATACCCAGGACAGATTGAAATAAGTATTCATAATATAATTCCAAGAAAAATGTAGGTTGGGTCCATTATTTAAAGTATAACAACAAATACAGTAGCAATTAAAAAATGATCGCATTATTTATGTAAAGATCAGCACTTCTGCCTTGCATCAGAATATCTGTAAGCTGAGGATGAAAATGTCACTTCCACCAATGATCAGTGTAGTTCCTGTGCACTGTTTGAAACATGTTGTACTGTGAGGAACAGAATAATCCATATGGTAGAGTCAATCTTTTAAATAATATAATCAATTCTTTCAAATTTATAAGAGTTAGAATATGATCTTAAACATTGAATAAATCCTCATAATCCATTTTGAAACCTTTTTATTTAACCGAAACAAAATTATCCGTACACTTCTGCCAATAACTTTAACTGAATAAAAGCAGTGGTTGGCTGCTCGTATCCAAGTATGCCTGTCTGCTAGGATGGCTAGCCAATCCATATTGCAGACGCCTTCTCAGGCACATTTGTGTTTGTTAAACATCCACAGAGCCTACCTGTGGTTTACACTGCAACTATTCTGAGCAGACGTTAGTCACAGTGAGAGCATATTATCTTGTGTGATCAACTGTCTGAACAAGGTCAGTACATTCAAACCCTCGGTCATGATGACATGCAACTTCATGCTAAATTAACCATCGACAGCTGCCAAATATTTCCATCTACCCAATTTCATTCACATGGCTTGGGATCAACCCA